CTACTTACCAATAAAAAGTAACTGTAACCTACAAGGAAGAAGGTTGGGGTAAGGAGGTGGGAGAGCATTTTACAATCCAGTCAATACACAGGGGAAAACATTAAATTTCATTTATTTCTTTATGAAGAGATGATGTATTTGTTCACTGAACAAGGATAGGAACTGCTTAACCATCCCCAATTTCATTTCTCTCTGTTATGCTATAAATTAGATGAGTTACCTCTGCTAAGGTTACATTTTATGGTTAAGTTACTTTTTATTGATCTTAAGTGTCAACATCAGCACTATCTATTTCTGCAAGGATGGAAACATTCTATATCTGTACTTTTCAGCTATTTAGCCTTCAGCCACATGTGGTTACTTAAAACATATTTAGAGAAACTGAAAAAATGAATTTTTAATTAATTTCAATCTAACTCTAAATAGTCACATGTGGCTACCATACTGGACAGCTCATACCTAGATATCAGCCAGACTAATGAAGTGGTTTCCTAACTTAAACTAAAACTTAAATTTTAATAAAAACTTTAAAACCTTTTTTTGAACTTCCAATATGATCACAGTATTACTTTTAGTACCTGTCGACTCTGTAAAACTCCTAAATTACAGCTCATCTACATACATTTGAAAAATAGTAGTATCTGTATGTATCAGATATGACTAGTTCTAGATGACGCCTGGAGACCCCATGGACTTACAGAGACCCTTCCAGTGATTTCTGAGGTACCAGGGAATCTGTGGCCAATAAATTGGTAATCACTGAATTAGTGAGTTTTTTAAGGATATGGGGCTGCATAAAATCTGACAGCTTAATTGAAAAAAAGCGGAGCAGGGTGCCATTTCATTCAATTAAGGTCCTGTATTAATTCCATTTAATAAACGTTTGTGTCTCTGATGTGCTAGCCACTGGGCCAGTAAATGGATATAGCTATGATCTGACTGGCAGAGAAAATCCAAACTAGTGTCTTCCGTGCCATGCAATGAGGGCTACATTGGAAGGCTGCACAGGGTGCTACTGGAGCATAGAGGTGAGTCAGAGACTTCCCACAGCCACACACACGAGCGCAAACAGAAAGTCTTTATATATCATCATATTGTCAAGGAACACCGGCCGGGAGTTAGGAGGGCTGGGAACCAGGAACGCTTTGAAACTGAATAGCTGTGTGATTTCAGAGATCATGTTGCTTCTCTATTTTAGTTCCGAACTTGTGTACTAATATTTCTCTCCCTTTTGCTTTTGGTGGAAAAAGCACAATTTGGGGTCAACAGATTCGGCTCACGTCGCCAGGAAACGACGTCTCCAGGACATCTTCCCTCCCAGTCCGGGCTCTCTGCAGGGATTCATCCCGTCACTCTCCCAACGACCCCCGGGGCACACCGCCAGCAGATGCTCGGGAGCAAAGATGAGTCGGAGGACCGGGGGAGGACCTTCCCAAGCGCACGACTCGCGATCTTCCCAGAGCCCCAGGGCCAGGGACCCCACCGCCGCC